TCGCCTTTCCGTGCAGCTCGGCGAATTTCTTCTTCCTACAGCACAAGGTCACATGTCTGAAAAATGCAGTAATGGCCAAACTCCGTTTACGTACCAGTTCCTTCTCCTGTCGACTCAGCTGTCGCCTATCTCTTTCCAAGTCTCGCTGTGTCGAGCGAAGCACACGATCATTCTTTCGGACCGTGTCTAAATTCATAGAACAAGACAACGTCAAAACAGCGTTGACCGCAAAGAATCTGTAGACCTATCGTTGTAACAGAACGAGAAACGGCAAAAACATCGAGCATACCAAATACCTCGAGACAATGTAACAGAGCAAATGATCGGCTGTCATATAGTAGCCATTCAAGATGAACTTCCCGGATTAACTAATCAGGACCGGAACTAATCACTAAATTTCTGTTTTCTTGTTATCCACGTGCAGAATAGCTGCAAAGCAGAAACTTCTGACTATCTGATGTTGCGATTAAGTACTGACTGAACTTTTAATTTCAGCAATAAAAACGGATACTATTACACAGTTATTAAACAACGCGCCCAGCCCTGGACAGCTCCCTCACATACATGGACAAAATTTCGAAAGTAGTCTAACCTAAACGCAAATAAAACTAATAGCACACTGAATGCAACTAACTCCAGTAGTTTGGGTTTACTAACAAAATGCTAGTGTTCGATACTACGCATGAGAACTGCAGAGCTCGAATATTCGGTTCGAATGAACAATTACTAAACTTATGCAACAGTACTTTACAACTTTACAAAAACGGCGGCATCGGACAATCACCGAACTGGCTGTTTTCTTTTTCTCATAAAATCAATCGTTTTTAGAACCTACTCTGCGAAATTGACAGAAAATTAAAGTTTGTATGGAACGCATTTTAAAAATTAAAAATTTTTCTATGCAGGAAAATGCTTTGCTCATGAACGAAAAATTTTGAACTAGTGTGTAATCCCAGTGCTAACTTATGGGTACTAAATGTGGACCTTAAGCCTGAAAGTCATTGATGAACTGTAAACTATCCAGCACGGAACGAATTAAAAGAAAAGATATGAAGATGAATGAATGGGTAACGACACAAACAGTAGTCTGCGATGTCACCGTACGAGTGAAAAAGTTGAAGCGGCAATAAGCCGATGGGCAGAAGGCTTTCAAGAAGAACTCCCCTTCGTTTGAGTAAACGGACCATGAAAACATTTCCAGCTCGATGGCATGATGAGGTAAAGAAGCAAATTAGATCAAAATTAATATGAATCGCAAATGAACATAAGTATGGTAGTCTTGGAGAGCCTTCACCAAGCAGTGGGTCCAAAAAGGCTAATAATGATTACGCTGTTTTTCGATAATAATTACAAGCAAAATTATGGGAAAAGTTCAATAGCTGAATCTTGTTTTTATAATGCATGCAATGCTCTAATGTCGTAATGCATTTCTTTCCATGTAAAACTTTATTCAAGCGCTATGCATTAGCTAAAATACCTTTCAAGGTTGGCTTTTTGAAAAAGGACATTCTGCACCGTTAGTTCATTGCAACTGGTAAAACAGCGCGATTGAGAGTGAACGTCTAGATGCAACAGAATACATTAGCACATTTAGCAAATTTTTAGAACACGATATTACGATTTTAACAAAGCGCTACGCGGAAGCTTTCGTCACATGACTCCATAGGAAAAAGCACGTAAATAGAAGCAAATCCACCTGAAGCATTAAAAATAAAACGTCGTCAAAAAGCGACGACTTAAATTAGTATTAGTATTCCGGTAGAGGCTTTATGTCTGCTTAAATTTCAAGTCTCCCCATCGTAGTCTATCTCACGTCATCAGTCTTGTCTATTTAGGAATGACAGATATTTCAGTGAGGTCTTTGCAAAAAAAACTGCTTGAAGTTTCAGTGCTTAAGGATCTGCCGCAATTGCAGTACTTTCTATATATTTTAATTTCCACTGGTACTCTGTCGACCAGGCTTACAGCACTGGTGACGACGTGTAAGCAACCTTTTAAACGAACGCAATGCTTATTAATGAGAAAAAGACACTTCATGCTCTTCGTCGCTCACGCGATAAACAGCGAAACTTCCACTATTAGAGAGTCAAACTGACTGCTAGGTAATGGCATTCTATTTTAGACTAGTTTCACTGAAAACGTGTCCGCCACTGTAAGCAAACGGGCAAGATGCTGCTGATCAGTTCGAACCAGGTGACAATAAATTATCAAATGCGAAAGTAGGAATGCTGGAATTGATTTCCTCGAAGGAGGGAACAAATACCGCATTCATTACCAGTTTTCTTGAAGTAAAGTACTACTACGGGGTAAGGGCACAGAAGAGTGCATTTGGTGATCTGTCACGTAGCTGTAGACATTGTCTTCAAAAAAAGACACTTCTGGCAGATAGCGTTAACACTGCGATCACGCGTCCGTGAGGCAAAATGACAAATATCATAATCCCTTTGAAGAATAACGCTATGATGTACCACAGTAGATGCCTCATTAGGCCGAATTTCCTAGATTTTAATCATCCAAGTCGAGAACGACTTCTCGATGATGTTCATTCACCAAATCTACAGTCTTATTCGCGAACAATCATTCTCTGTTCAGAGAACAAACGGCACAGAGAGAAAATTTTGCCGGGCACTTCCTTCTGGGATTATTAAACATGGTACTACTACCTCCAATCCCTCTACCTATGTACATCTATTGTCTAAATGCCTTTTTCTAAGCAGATATAATTAAAGACAAATATTTCTGTTAACATCGGTAACCAGCTTCGTTATTCAACCGTTTCGGAGTTCATAAGTAGCCGTTAGAAGGAATCAAGTTTGTACACTTCACCGTTCACCCGTCGTGATGTCGTCTGCTACGTCACTGCCTACTCTCTGTAACGGAGACATCGAGAATGGACTGCGGAAAGCTCAACGACAGCGAGCGTGCAACATATTGTACCCCACCTGGGACTATTAGAAGCCTACATACCAGCCAAACTTAACTTCTTATAAAAAAGTGGAGAAAAGCAAATTGCTATGAGCACAACTTCAAGATAACGTGTAGACTTCGACGATTGTAAGCAGGCAGAAATCAGCATGCGCAAGAGTATATTCACGGTCAAAAAACTTTTCCTGCTGACTGCACGGTCATTCGACTTCCTTCATGCCTACAACCACTGAACTAGGAAACTCACCGCTGGCACTGAACGACTTTTCGAATAACTCGGAAATTCCATTTTTCAACCATAATACCAATCATAAAGAATGAAATATAAAAAAAGACGTAAACACAAAAGTGCAATGCGGACAGCCGGCGGCGTTATATGGTAGAATTTCGATGGTATGAATCCAAGTCAGAGATGAACCTCATAAAATACTGAGAAATACCACCTTCGATATAGGCTGACAAAAAATTCACTTCCCGCAGCTCCTCTGGCACCTCACGGATAGCGTCAAGCTCAAAAAATATGAAACCGAGTTACCGGCGTTCAAATCTAGCACGATC